CAAAAATACAGTAAAAACAGTGAAATATTATTATAATGTAAAACAGCTGTTTTCTGTGTGAATATCTGTTAAACCATAATGTATTTCTGTGATGCGCAGCTGTATTTTCAGCATCATTACTCCAGTCTTCAGTGTCACATGATCTTCAGAAATCATTCTAATATGCTGATTTGCTGCTCGAGAAAAATTTCTGATTATTATCAATGTTGAAAACAGTCGTGTTGAACTATATTTCTGTGAAAACCGTGATACATTTAATTTTTCAGGATTCACAGATGAATAGAAAGTTCAAAAGAACAGAATTTATTTCACATAGAAATCTTTTGTCACATTATAAATGTCTTTACTGTCACTTTTGATCAGTTTAAAGCGTCCCTGGTGAATAATCGTGTCTCTGGAGTCTCTGAAAGTGCAGTGAGCCGTGCACAGCTTGGTCTATTATTATCGTAAAGCATAACTTGACTGTTCAGTAGCAGATCTCAAGGTAAATGTCGTTGTTTGAGAGAGTGACTGCAGTCAATCCTAAACGCAGCTCCAGCGTAATGACGTGACATATACAGTAGACTTCTCCTACCTTGGGCCACCGGGGACGCTCCCCACTGGTGAAACAGTCCTGAAAGCACAAGGGATGAGAGATCAGTCACACAACGCAGTTTATAGCACACTCTCCAGAGACGCCATACGAGTCAAACCTGCCAATAACACACCTAAACCAGACAAAGCTACTTCTCACTCCATGTTAAGCTTGGTTTACATGACACCACCAGATCTGCTTATAATTCACATATTTCGTTCAGAAAATCAGGTTTTAACAATAAATATATAATTTCATAATGGTGCTCACTCATTAGTCCTTCTGACCTTCATACAGGAGTCGTTATGGATTTGAAATAAATGGCCAAAAATGAATTTCATTTCAAAAATGAAAATGAGGTAAAAATGTGCTCACCCTCAGTTCTTGTGTCTTACAGTGTGTTTTCACGAGATTCGTGACGATTCATGAATCAGACACTAAACAAAAGACAATCATGAGCGTGAGACGGACGGACGAAGAGGAAAATCCAGAAAGGGCGGGAGACGGCAAACACACTTAAACCTGCTTATGACTAACCCGTCTGCTAGATGAAGCGTGTTTAACATCTCAGACTCTGTGTGTAAACATTCTGCAACGCTTTTAACATCAACCACAAACACACTTCACTTCTAAATAGATTTAAAATACATAAATAGATTAAAATAAGTAAATAAAACAACATGAATAAGTAATAAAGTATAGTAATACAATATAGTATAGTAATAAAGAATAATAAAGTATATTACATTGAAAAATATTTTAATAAATACAAAAAATAATAACAATTATTTAAATATATAGATTAAAATAAGTAAATATGATATAATTACATAATATAACATTTGTTTACAAAATATATGATACAAATATTTAGATAAGTAAAAAAAGATTAAAAGAAATAAAAGGCGGACAAATAAATAATACAAAATTATTTTAAAATAAATCATAAAATTATTGAAATAGATGAAAATATGTAAATAAATAAGATACAGTTACATAACACAAAATTTGATTAAATAAACAATACTATTTAATTTAAATAAGCAAATTAAAATAATAAATAAAAAGTACACATAACAGAAAATACAAATGTATATCTAAATCATAAAAAGTGATTTAAATAAATAAACTAGGGATGTTCATTTCGGTTATTTTTCCTAACCGACAACCGATGCTCGTTAACCGATTGTTAACCGACAAGATTATTTTAAATTAGAATTGAATTAAATTAGAAAGGATACGTGTCTGTGACCCGTTAAAAATGCTAACATTTGTTTCCCGGGGATTACTTTTACAAAAGCAGCAAACAACAGAACATGAGGATTCACTGGTCTTCATCACGCACCTGCAGCGCTTCTGCCAGCGGAGAAAAACAGTACAGCTAGGCTATATACTGTATATAACGAATAAACACATTTTTTTAACGCGTAGCGGATTTTAACCATGCAGCAAACCTTTTTAAATATTTTGATAAATTACTGAAAAAATTTATAATTAAATGACTTTCTTAAACCGTTTAACTGATTGTATGAATCGGTCAAAATTCTTACCGTCGGTTAACCGGTTAAAGTGAACATCCCTAAAATTAAGTAATTAATTAATTAAAATAGTAAAAAAAAATATATAAATATACAAACAAAAAAGTAAAAATTTAATTAGATTAAGATAAAGATTTATGATAGTTAACAGGACAGCGCTATAGTGAGTAGAAAAAAAATTAATGTAACAACAGAAAGTAAATATTTTCTAAATCATATTCTAAATTGGTATACCAGCTTAAATGATTATAAATAGAGTATTTAAACATCAAAATATAGTTGACCTTTTAAATTTGGAGGTCTGTGATTTAAAATTTTTTTTTAAATCCCTTCCATAGACTATCGTTTTATTGAAAACAAGTGAATGAAATGTGTTTATGTATTTATAGTTAACAAATATCCACTTTCTGTGCTAGTTAAGGAGCAGGTTTATGGCGCAGTTCGGCTCGGCTCGGTTTGCGTTTCCACTGCAGTTCAGTACCGCTTTAGAGTGGGCGGGATTATTCACATGTGGTTATAGTTGCGCCGCCTCTACTGCCGCGACTCCTGAACAACTGTTTCATTCCGCGTCGCCCCATCAAGCTCTCGCTGGATCCGCTCCTCTGCTATCAGCCAGAGGCTATTTACTAACCCTAACCCATCCCTAAGGGTTAAACCTAACCAGCTGTAACCCACCCGCCGCTTAACCTACCCATCACACTACTAACCAGCACAACCTGATGCCTTTCACTTTATCTGTGAGGACTTTTCACTAGAGCCCGACCGATATGGGTTTTTCGGGGCCGATACCGATATTAGGGAGTAAAAAAAATATCAATATATCGGCCGATATTCTTTGTGTATATTATAGTACAGTACCAGTTAAAGTTTGGACACTTTCCCATTCGTGTGTCCACACATTTGACTGTTACTATATATAGAATACAGTATAGACATAAACAGAATATATACCACGACTCCTAAAAAAAACTTTTTCATTCCGCGTCGCCCCATCAAGCTCTCGCTGGATCCGCTCCTCTGCTATCAGCCAGAGGCTATTTACTAACCCTAACCCATCCCTAAGGGTTAAACCTAACCAGCTGTAACCCACCCGCCGCTTAACCTACCCATCACACTACTAACCAGCACAACCTGATGCCTTTCACTTTATCTGTGAGGACTTTTCACTAGAGCCCGACCGATATGGGTTTTTCGGGGCCGAGTATATACATAAACAATATATACTGTATACATAAACACTCACTCAAATGTGGTGATCAAACACTTATAATGATGTGACAAAGATATGTGATGGAGGCAGGGCATTTAACAATTTAACAATAAACTTTATTATCCAAAATGAGTCTGACATCAGTGCACTGAACAGTAAAGTTGAAGTTTATTCAACTTTAATTCAATTCAATTCCATTCAACTTTATTCATTTGAAGATTATTTCACTTTGCGCTACTGTCTTCACACACAGACGAAACTTACTAGAAGTGTTAAGTGTGACATAATATACCTCTGTAAATAAATACAATAAACAAACTGTTCCCGCCGTTCAGAGGAGTAGCGCGGTGTCACAACGCTCGACTTACCGTCCATGTCGGGCGTCGCTGCGGCTCGGGTCGCTCTCCGTTGCGTTTCCGCGCTGCGCTGCAGTGAAGAGTGATGAACAACACACAGAACGACGCGCCCCCGCCTCGACTCGCGGAAATACCCGGATGACGCGCTTACGTCGCCATCACAAAAACACAGAAAGAAACACACACTAGGGCTGTGCAATTTGGTGGAAAATATCAAATTGCGATTTTTTTGACAGATATCGCGATTTGATTTGCGATTTTAAATTTGCAAAGTCAAGCTTCAGCTCACACACACTCACTCACACTCACACACACACACTCTCACACACACACACACACCGCGGAACACCGCCAAACCAATCGACTAACAACACGAGCGCCTTCAGTCTACAGCTGCATATCTAGCTCTCAGTTCATGAAGATCTGAAGTTATTTCTAGAAAACAAGATGAGCGGAGAACAAAAGCTAACTTCTGTGAATAATAATGTACAAGTTGTTAAAAAAATGTTCAAAACTAAAATAAAAAATTAAACTAAAACATTTAGTTTATTCAGATGATCAGAATTTCCCAACAGAGGGCGCACAAACTCTGTGTATCGTGAATGCTTAACTGGGGGAAACGTTTTGAAGTAAAACACTAAAATGGTATTTTAATAATCTTAAAATATTTTTAAACTGCTGGAGAAAAAAGCTGTGCGCAAAAAATATATTGTGCAGCAAAATAAATAAAATGACATTTAAAAGACAAAATTATGAATCATATCTAGCAAAAGGATTTTTTTCCGCCAAGTTAGAAAAAAATACATATATACATTTTAGAGTCATAATTATGATAAAGAGTTATAATGAGATAAAACGAAATTATGACATGCTAAATCATAAGATAAAAATGTTACTTTAATCATTAATAATATAGTCATAACTTTGACTTTTCATGACTTATTAAAGCATGATTTGGCAGAAAAGGGCTTCAGACTATACAGACTTACACATTAGACTTTTAACTAGATACTGATCATTATCTATCTTCTGTCAGAGAAGAGCTTTCTGATGTTTTTATTTTCTGTGCCTCTTCTCAAAAAACATGTTTTTTATCATGTTTATAGAAATTCTCACGCTTTTTCAGACTTTTACTTTTTATTAACAAAACTGAAAAAAATAAACTTGACACTCGATCAAATATCTATGCGTAAAAATCCTTCTATACAGTTACACGTCAGACACATGTACAGTATTTTACATTAAATCACAGTCATCTACACACTGCAATGCATCACTGTAACAGATCATGTAGAACATTTAGAACAAATGTTACGAAGGAGTTCTACCTGACGCTAGTTTGTGATGAAGTCACACTTCTATGATCAGGCCAGAATTAATTTCCATGACTTTTCCAGACATTCATGAACTCATTTCACAGAAAACACTTGGCAACCTCCATTCGTATGTTAGGAACCGATGTACAAAATGAACAGATTTCAACTATTATAGTTACTAGTCCATAAAGACCAACATCTAGTGACAGAAATGATTTCATCTGGAAAACACAGTAATCAAGAGCCCAGATATCTCCAGGTTTCCCCGAATCGTCTGCTGTTGGATGAGGAAGGGTGACAGTAGATGAGGGTGTTATCGCACCGACAGCATCATCACAAACTCTGGAAGAGTCAACAACATCAGATCACTGCTGCTTCACATCCCTGAATGCTTCCATTTCAGCATGTCATTATATTATAAATTATTATTATCTCTCACCGTCGAAATCCACGGTTCCGTCTCCGTTCAGGTCCAGCTCCTTCAGGATCTCCTCCAGCTCTCCTTTCTTGAGTTTCTCTCCTAACAGAGTCTTCAAAGCCTCCTTCATCTCATCCAGAGAGATCTTCCCATCACCGTCAGCGTCAAACTGAGCACAAACACACACAGTTCATTCACTGCTCAATTACATTTGAAGCAAGCCATCACAGCTGAATAGGGTTCAAAAAATAGATTCACCATATTACAATTGACTGATTTTGACACACTTTTTTTTTTTTTTCAGTTTTTGTGTTACACGTTGTGTTGTGAAATGTGATGTTCAAATATGCAAATGAGGCATCTAATTAAATATGCGCTAATTTGCATACAAGTCCAGCACATGAATCTGAGCACTGAATGCACTCAGGTTCAAAACTGTAGTTTGATTCAGTAGGTTTTTCCAGAGCGGGGTTTTGGATTCCTTTTTTTATCACTCCATAAATCAGAAAATAATGTCAACAGACAGAAAACAAACACATTTTCACCATGTTTTTAAGAGTAAAATGTTGTATAAATCAGTGTGAATGACATATAACAATAAATATACAAAAGTATTATGTTTGTATGTGTATTGTTTTATATAGTGTATATACTGTACATAAAAGTATACTGTTAAAAGTGTCTAAACTGTGTATACTGTTATACGTGTCAGTTGTATTCTGCACTGTCTGGAGCACGCTCCCAAGCGTTTCACTCACCACAACACACCTGCTGTTGGTGATGTGACAATAAAAGTGATTTGATTTGATTTACACAAACCACTCAGTAAAAACACGCAATGAGTGTCATTGTGATTTGTTCATGTTTTTGAAAGTCTCTTCTGTTCACCAAGGCTGCTCTTTAAAATCAAAAACACAGTATAATAGTGAAATATTATTATAATGTAAAACAGCTGTATTTTCAGCATCATTACTCCAGTCTTCAGTGTCACATGATCTTCAGAAATCATTCTAATATGCTGATTTGCTGCTCAAGAAACATTTCTGATTATTATCAATGTTGAAAACAGTCGTGCTGCACAGTATTTTTGTGGAAACTGTGATGCATTTTATTTTTCAGGATTCACAGATAAATAGAAAGTTCAAAAGAACAGCGTTTATTTGAAATATAAATATTTTGTAATATTATAAATGTCTTACTGTCACATGTCTCACAGATCAATTTAATGTGTCCTTGATGAATAAAAGTATTAATTTATTTTAAAACCTTTTGAACAGTGTATAATATAGTGTAATCTGTAGATCTATGTAGTGACTGATGAGTGTTTGTGGTTGCATTTGTACCTGACAGAAGGAGCTTTTGAGCTCTTTGAGTCCCAGCATATCCGTCGTCTCCACCATCATCCTGGGACCCATCAACTCACAGAAATCATCGAAATCCATCAGACCTCCAACTGAACACACAAAAACACCATGCGACCTGAGACGCTGATATATGATACTTGAGTTTATTATATTACTCAAGTACAAATACTGACGCCTCATCTTGATCTGCTGGATGATCTCCAGCAGCTCCATCTCTGTGGGCATGTAGCCCATCGTCCGCATGCACTCGGCCAGATCCTTATAGTTCAGATAGCCGTCCTGATCGTAATCGAACTCCTTGAAGGCCTCGGCCAGCTCTGGAACACAAGCAGGCGTGTGCTGATGTTGAGCGGAGGTGTGATAATCTGTGATGATTTGTGATTTGATAATCTGTGATATGATGATCTGAGATGTGATGATTTGTGATTTGATGATCTGTGATGTGATGATCTGTGATGTGATTATTTGTGATTTGATGATCTGTGATGTGATGATTTGTGAGGTGATGATCTGAGATGTGATGATTTGTGATGTGATGATTTGTGGTGTGATGATCTGTGATGTGATGATTGATCTGAGATGTGATTATCTGTGATGTGATGATCTGAGATGTGATGATCTATGATGTGATGATTTGTGATTTGATGATCTGTGATGTGATGATCTGAGATGTGATGATGTTGAGTGGAGATGTGATGTGATATGATGTGATGATTTGTGATTTGATAATCTGTGATGTGATTTGATGAACTGAGATGTGATTATGTTGAGTGGAGACGTAATGATTTGCGATGTGATGATTTGTGATGTGATGATCTGTGATGTGATGATTTGTGATGTGATGATCTGTGCTGTGATGATTGATCTGAGATGTAATGATCTGTGATGTGATGATTGACCTGAGATGTGATGATCTGAGATGTGATGATCTGTGATGTGATGATTTGATTTTGTGATGATTTGTGATTTGATGATCTGTGATGTGATGATCTGTGATGTGATTATTTGTGATTTGATGATCTATGATGTGATGATTTGTGAGGTGATGATCTGAGATGTGATGATCTGTGATGTGATGATTGATCTGAGATGTGATCTGTGATGTGATGATTTGATTTTGTGATGATTTGTGATTTGATGATCTGTGATGTGATGATCTGTGATGTGATTATTTGTGATTTGATGATCTATGATGTGATGATTTGTGAGGTGATGATCTGAGATGCGATGATCTGTGATGTGATGATTGATCTGAGATGTGATCTGTGATGTGATGATTTGATTTTGTGATGATTTGTGATGTGATGATCTGTGATGTGATGATTTGTGATGTAATGATCTCTGATGTGATGATTGACCTGAGATGTTATGATCTGTGATGTGCTGATCTGTGATGTGATGATTTGTGATGTAATGATCTGTGATGTGATGATTGACCTGAGATGTGATGATTTGTGATGTGATGATTGACCTGAGATGTGATGATTTGTGATGTAATGATCCGTGATGTGATGATTGACCTGAGATGTGATGATTTGTGATGTGATGATTGACCTGAGATGTGATGATCTGTGATGTGATGATTTGTGATGTGATGATCTGTGATGTGATGATTGACCTGAGATGTGATGATCTGTGATGCGATGATTGACCTGAGATGTGATGATCTGTGATGTGATTATTTGTGATGTAATGATCTGCGATGATTGACCTGAGATGTGATGATCTGTGATGTGATGATTTGTGATGTGATGATCTGTGATCTGATGATTGACCTGAGATGTTATGATCTGTGATGTGATGATTTGTGATGTGATGATCTGTGATGTGATGATTGACCTGAGATGTGATGAGCTGTGATTTGATGATTGACCTGAGATGTGATGTGGTCAGATGGTGTGATACTCACCGTCCAGCTCCGGCTGAGACAACTCTCGGTCCTGACAGCAAACACAGAGAGATCACATTAGTTGTGTATGTGGTTGTTATAAGAGCTAATGATCTGAAAGAATCATGTGTTGTTTTGATTAGAGGCTTAGAATCAATCAGGACACATTCAGGTTAAAGCTTCCGACTCAACCCAAGTTTCCATGGCATGTTTTGGGTCACAGAACAATCGCTCAAGAATCAACATTATGGTCACTGTTTACTTGTGTGCTTCTCTTTCATATTCTCACTCTGCCTCGATTAGCATCACATACTGTTATATGCAAATTATTACATATGCAAATTAAATTATTTAAAAAAATAATATGATGAAAACGTTCCCTAGTCAGTTTCTCTCTTTTTTTTCTGTTTTGTTTTTCATTTTCCAATTTTACACAGCATAAATGTTGCTATTTTGCTATTTCATTGTGTTTTTACTCCATTTAACTCCTTTCATGTTGAAATGAAATACATTTGAAAATGTAAAAAAAAAAAAATCAGTTTTTCTATTTTGCTTTTTAGTGTTTCATTATACATTTTTACTCAGTTTAACTCGCTACACAGAGTAATTTGCAAATTAATAAATTCTTAAATTTGCAAATAAAAAAGTTTTTATAAAAAGTTTCCTGTACAGATTTCAACTTGTTTTTTTTTTTTTCGTTTTCTTTATTAATTTTTACTCAGTTTAACAGTTTGCTTGCTGCAATTTGCAAAATATAAAATTTGCAAATTAAAAAACATTTTTAAAAATCTCATGAAAAAATTATTGTCCTTTTTTTACTGAATTGGGCATTGGTGATTCTGTCACAATGTCATGAGCTATCAGTTGAGAAACGTGTGTCAGTGATCAGAAACTTCGTCGTAACATCACATCTGATGACAGCAACACAGAGAGAGCCACTAAACTCAGTTCTGATGAGGTTCAGCAAACGCTCTGAGAATAGAGTACAAATTAAAGCCCGAAATTCTCAAAGACTGGAAATAGTGATGGTGACCCCCTAAAGGTCAAACTGAGTATCAAATTAGCTCTTTCATCATCTTCAGTTGATTTGAATATACAGTTTGCTAATTTCACTAACTGGGTAGAAATTTAAAAATAGAGTTTGTCTATCAAAAAAAAAACATTAACATTAAAATCTTAAATGATTTGACTTTTAAAAACCGTTTTAAAAACAACACTAGAATGGGAACAGATTTTATATTTCATATAAAA